CATGTTGAAGTAATTAGGTACTGACTAAATGTTGTATAGTAAATGAATGTCCCATGTTCTCTTTTGTAATACAGTCAAACCTCTCCACAATAGCCACCTTGGGGACATGCTAGGAAAGTGGTCATTGTGGAGAGGTTGCAGTCAAGGGAAGGTGGGGGACGGTGCAATATGACACCATTTTTTCTGGGCTTTGCAAAAAAAAAATGCTTATTGATGTAGCATATAAATATGTAGCACAATCAAAATGTATATCAATACAAAACAGAAACGAAACAGAAACAGGTTTAACAACATGCTGTACAGATTAGGTTTTGTGACCTTTTACACTTAAAAAGAAATTGGTGTTCAGAGGGGAGTGTATGGACACCATTCGTCAGTCACTGATTAGTACTGGCTATTGTTAAGAGGTTATTTTGGCAGTTAAGGGAAGCACTTAAGTGGCCATTGCTGTTGTGAAGAGGTAACCACTGTAGGGAGGCTAAAATAAGTTAGAGTGAATGTACAATGCATTGACTGTCCTCAGGGCCAAAAAAAGTGTGCAGTTATTGTAGAGAGGTGATATTATGCGGTCACTTCGTTCCATGGTCACTTCGTTCCATGGGCACTTCGTTCCAAAGAATAGTCACTTCAATTCGTGCCAAGGGGAAATCTTACAAATCTTACCAATCTTACAAAGCTACGAAACGCCTAAAGCAGATAGAATGTCAATTCAATACAAACTTCTAGTTTACTTTCAAAAGTAAACTAGAAGAAATATCCCAATGAAAGTGTTTAATCTTTGCATCAGACCAAAAAGATCCCCAGGACGTGGAATTTGAAATTGCAGCAGACCATGTCCCATCAGAGTTCCTGCGCACTGACACCTAGTTTTCGCCACCGATCTGCAGTTCGAGTTCCTTGCCCATTCAAAGTCTTGGTACGTCGATGCCACATTTATTAGCTGTGCTGCGGAGTAACTCATTCGTAAACGAAGATTTGACCAAGCATTCGTTAACTTCAAATTTTCGGAAACATCTATCGAGAATAAAAGTTTAATAGCTTAAATATAGTTTGCCTCTGGAACGAAGTGACTATTCTTTGGAACGAAGTGACTATTTGGTGGAACGAAGTGACTCTTAGATGGAACAAAGTGACCGTAAACCGAGGTGACAGTTAGTAGAGGTTCCTCTGTATCATTCAGTATAAAGGCATGGGTGAGTGGGTTATTAAAGCATT